CAGTCCTGTGCTTGGTACACCGGAACAGAGGGCGGGAGAGACATTAGGGGACTAATAATCCTCTCATGTCTCCATAAGTGGTACCTGTCACCTGCCTAATGCTAATACTATGGAGGCATTTTAGCCCCACTACTGATAGCAAAAAAGATACAGTGTCACTAAAACCATTAACCTGCATTCACTATTTGGTCTCCTTCAGTACACAGAACATGGAAATGCAAATGTTTTAGTAAATATAAACTGCTAAATACCTTTTCTTATCAGCAGTATATAGCGGTATTGTGACTTCTTTCAGTGTCCAGCAGAGCACTGGTTAAAGCTTGCAGGAGGAGTTTTCATTCTCCCCTGATTGTCCTATGAGGCTGCAGGACCCCTGACCCTTTGTCTGGACAGCGCTGATTGGCCATGCGCTGATCACATGCACTCTCCCAAAGAAAAAAAAACTCTCTAGCAATACACACCAACTGAGCATGTACAGCCCAAGGCTTTGTTCTATCAGTAGATGAATTGGAAACTGTGGAAGAAGGGGAGAATCAGAGAAGACAGGATCAAACATCCTTTTTACACAATTCAGAGGATTAACCCCTTAGGTTCCACAGTGAGTAAAACAAGCATGTTTTACTGCATATAGAGACTGATTTTACTATTGTGGGTTTAGTAACACTTTAAGTGCAAAAAGAAAAAATAGAAATTTAAAATAGCAAAATAAATAAAATATAAAAAAAACAAACAAAACCACCCCCATCTCTCTGCGCACACCCATATAAATACAAACACACACATGGAAAGCAATTGTGCCATACATGTTACCCATTGCTGCATATACCAGACTGAGAATAATAATTCTAGGTCACTGCTTTATGGCTGACTCTATACTAATGAGTTGTAAAGGCATTTGAAGTATCGCCTACTGATAATACTGCACATTTTGTTGCCAGTTTGTGGTGCACTCAGTTTTGAGGCTTGGTATTTGGTATCTATATACCTGGCACTACATCATCTTTTATTGTGTACAAAAAAATGGGGATTAAATTGTGTTTATGTGTAAAATTCGTCTTAGTGTATTTCCTTTACTAAAAATATATATTTGATAAACAGGTGAGCAAATATCATGGGACATAAAATATTGCAAGTACTATCTTTTTTATTTTACAGTCCTCTGCATTCGGAAAATATATAATGTTCTGGAGTTAAAAAGTCATTTTATAGTTATCCACTTCCTATATAGTTATCCACTCCCTCATCATATCACAACTCGATTACTGCAACTCCCTCCTCACTGGCCTGCCTCACCACAGGCTATCCCCGCTTCAGTCGATCCTGAATACGGCGGCCAGACTCATCCACCTTATCAACCGCTCTCTTTCCGCCACCCCCCTCTGCCAATCCCTCCACTGGCTTCCGATTGCCCAATGAAACAAATTCAGAATGCTAACACTGACATACAAAGCCGTCCACCATACTGCCCCAAACTACATCACCAACCTAATATCCAAATACCACCCAAAACGCACTTTCCGCTCCTCACAAGACCTCCTACTCTCTAGTTCCCAAGTCTCCTCCTCACATGCCCGCCTCCAGACTTCTCCAGGGCATCACCCATTCTCTGGAACTCCCTACCCCAATCCATCAGACTATCACTTACTCTCCTCTCCTTTAGGCGCACCCTGAAAACCCACCTCTTCAGGGAAGCCTACCCCACCCCCTGCTAATTGCCGACCTCCTCCACTCTTCCTACCACTCCATCCCCCCCACAGCTTTTCCTCCAGTACCACTATCCCCTCCCTCCTAGATTGTAAGGAGCAGGGCCCGTGTGTATCGCATTGTATTGTTATTGTATTGTCTCCCATTGTAACGTACAGCGCTGAGCGAACTGTTGGCGCTATATAAATACTGTATAATAATAATATTAGTTAAAAATGCAGATTTTTACATGTGTGCAAAAAATGAAAAAAAAAAATGCTCCAGGAGGGAAAATGGGATACACTTCAGTGTAACTGTATTCTCTACTATTATATATGAAAAACAATAGAGCCTCTTAGAAAGAGGCTATATGAGCACTGATAACATGCTTGCTAACTGGCAACATGCCATCAGTAATAGGACGTCATTTAAATCTGGAACACAGTGGAACGACCCCATGAATTTTTCGTACAGGCAGTGGATCTCTTAAATATTTAGGGCTAGTTCACACTAGATGCAGTCCAGTGCATTTTTTCTGCATCAAAAATGCATGCACAGTGTTTCCATGTATTCCAATAGTTCACACAAGTGCAATCAGTTCCAGTCATTTTCCAGTGCAGAAAAAAAAGTAGAACATGCTGCTTTTTTTTCTGCACAGAACCATACTGGAACATAGTAAACTGCATCAAAACTGCACCAGAACTGTGTGCGGTGTGAACTGTAAGCAAAAACCTATCTGGAATGCATCCGGAGTGCATTTTTGTAGTGTGAACTGGCCCTTAGGGGGTCAATAACTCCCTAAGGGAGTTAAATAACAACTAAAAAAAATGTGGTAAAAGAACACATGCCGAAACAATTGTGTAAATGTACAATTCACTAAGAATTGCGCGGTAAATAACTACTGTGATACAGCTTCGATAATGCGGTAATTATATTTTCATGCATTAGGTTATCGCACGTTCCTGGTGGGCGGAGCCAGAAAATCCTGAATCACCTAATAAAAAAATTTAGTTTGTGTTACATTTAAAATTACAATACTAAACAACATTTATGGAACATGGAAAAATTAGAACACAATTATATATATATACACAGTATCTCACAGAAGTGAGTACACCCCTCACATTTTTGTAAATATTTGATTCTATCTTTTCATGTGACAACACTGAAGAAATGACACTTTGCTACAATGTCACGTAGTGAGTGTACAGCTTGTATAACATGTAAATTTGCTGTCCCCTCAAAATAACTCAACACACAGCCAGGGGCGGACTGACAACTCATGGGGCCCCCGGGCAATAGGGGATCATCGGGCCCCTGTGTCCTTGCCCAAACTCAAAAAAGCCTATGAAAAAGGTACCAGGGGCATCTCATGGGGCCCCCTACTGACCCCGGGCCCTCGGGCAGTGCCCGAGTTTCCAAAGGGTCAGTCCGACCCTCACACAGCCATTACTGTCTAAACCGCTGGCAACAAAAGTGAGTCCACCCCTAAGTGAAAATGTCCAAATTGGGCCCAATTAGCCATTTTCCATCCCCGGTGTCATGTGACTCGTTAGTGTTACAAGGTCTCAGGTGTGAATGGGGAGCAGGTGTGTTAAATTTGGTGTTATCGCTCTCATTCTGTCATACTGGTCACTGGAAGTTCAACATGGCACCTCATGGCAAAGACCTTCTAAGGATCTGAAAAAAAGAATTGTTGCTCTACATAAAGATGGCCTAGGCAAGAAGACGATTGCCAAGACCCTGAAACTCAGCTGCAGCACGGTGGCCAAGACCATACAGCAGTTTAACAGGACAGGTTCCACTCAGAATAGTGAATAAGGGGGAGAGAACAATGTTCTTGGACAACTTGCCAGCCAGCTTGCTAACAACCGAATTAACCTGTCTAACAGTATGCGTTTATAACAGGGGTTTATTTAGCACACATTTGCAAATACATACGTAAGCCACAGAGCCACGACACGGCACCCTGATAATCTGTGGTCCTAACTCTACAATTTGTGAGTCCCCATAGTAGAGGCACATGCATTTAATGGATAGATCAAGGGTAGGTGGACCTGAGGGAGCCACCCCTCTTAAAGGCACAGGAGTGCACTGGACCCCAGCATGTAGCACAATGGCAACCAGGGTCCTAGTGCACCCACGTACCAAAACTCCAACATGCATAAAAGTGGCCACCTGCCCAAGTCTATAACTGGCTTATGAAGCAAGGACACATAAACAGGCATCACATAGTGAATAAGGGGGAGAGAACAATGTTCTTGGACAACTTGCCAGCCAGCTTGCTAACAACCAAATTAACCTGTCTAACAGTATGCGTTTATAACAGGGGTTTAGTTAGCACACATTTGCAAATACATACGTAAGCCACAGAGCCACGACACGGCACCCTGATAATCTGTGGTTCTAACTCTACAATTTGTGAGTCCCCATAGTAGAGGCACATGCATTTAATGGATAGATTAGTGGCAGGTGGCCACTTTTATGCATGTTTGAGTTTTTGGTACGTGGGTGCACTAGGACCCTGGTTGCCATTGTGCTACATGCTGGGGTCCAGTGCACTCCTTTGCCTTTAAGAGGGGTGGCTCCCTCAGGTCCACCTGCCCTTGATCTATCCATTAAATGCATGTGCCTCTACTATTGTATGGGGACTCACACTCTGTAGAGTTAGGACCTCAGATTATCAGGGCACTGTCGTGTCGTGGCTTATGTGGCTTACGTATGTATTTGCAAATGTGTTAAATAACTGCCACTCTGTGGTATTCGCTACTGTTAACTGACAGGTGTAATTGTGTGTTATAACAAGCTGGCTGTGCATAGTTCCTCCAAGAATAATTGTTCCACTGGCTCCTTATTCACTATGTGATGCCTGTTTGTGTCCTTGTGATAAGCCAGTTATAGACTGGGCGGGTGGCCACTTTTATGCCTGTTTTATCCACTGGCTGTGATAGGCCTCCATGGTCAACTGCCAAGGCTGTGTGCCGTGCTCAACATCAATGCCAGAGGCTGTGTCTTTGGGAAGTAGATGTATGAATGCTACCAGCATTGCTGCAGAGGTTGAAGCCCCTCCCACGGCCTAGCATCAGCAAAGCCCGGCAGTTTGTGAAGACAGGTATAGAGGAATGGCCGCAGCCAATCATCGTGCATTCCTGTTATCCTCCTGGACACCAGCTATAAGCTAAAACTCTGTGAATGGACCAATACCCGCCAGAAATCCGGGCTTCTCTGAAGACTTGCCGGACTCGGGTGCTGTTGCTGTGGGAACCCCTAGACGGTCGATGACACGTTTGAAAACTGATTTGGTTCAGATGGTGGGAATGGCGCCGCCCGCAGCCTCTGCTCTGAGGAGTACAAAGACAAAGGAGTCTTGGAAGTCAAGCCGGCTGGTGGGGTGAACCATGGCCGGGTGTAAAAATGCATTAACCCGGGGTCTGTGCCGCTGTGGGAACTGGCATAGAGGCCCTGGAGAGGGAGGCTGGCACCTGTCTCTGGTATTATCCCTGGTAACTGGAGACTGTGGATTATACCTGGAGACTGGCACTGTCACCGTAACTGCAAGAAGTCCCTGGAATTATCCCTGTGTGACTGAGATGTCACTGTCCTCCTGATATAACTGGGACTGTCCATGATATTATCCCCTACGGGTAACTGGCACTGTCCCTGGTATTAGGTATTATACAGGGGACTGGCTCCATGATGATATATATACCCTGGTAGGGCTCCATGTGATGTATATATCCCAGGTAACTGGGAGGGCTCCATTGATAATATATCCTGGTAAGGGCTCCATGATGGTATATATACAGGTAAGGGCTGTCTCCATTGATGGTATATATACAGGGGAGGGCTGTCCATTGATGATATATATTACTGGGGGACTCCCTTGATGATGGAATTAAATACACTGTTTCTGGTATTGATCCCTTGTAACTGGGGGAGGGCTGTCCATTGGTAACCAGTATGTCCATGGTAACTGGCACTGTCCCTGATATATCCCTGGTAAGGGGACTGTCCCTGGATGATATATATAACTGGCACTGTCCCTGGTATTATCCCTGGTAAATGGCAACCCGTCCTGGTATAATTCCTGTAAAGGGGTTTAGGGACTATAGTGTACATTTGGAATTGTATTGAATCAAATCCTACAAGGACGTTGTAACTACCCAAATGCAACTAAAATGACATCAATTGTTTATGTAATACAGTCTTGTCACTTATCTGTGGTATTCCTCCTTATAAATGGTCTGTGGTATGTGTCCTTATTTCTTCATTGTCCACACTCTGTTATTCCCCTTATAGACTACCACTCTGTGAAGAACAGAGGTTATAACTGGCACTGTCTGTGCTTTCCATCCACTGTGGCTGTGATAAACTCCTGTATAACTGCACTGAGCTGCAATCAAGCATAATAACTGCCACTGGCAATTAGGCAGCTTTAAAATGACTGTGATATTCTCAGCTCCTTATAGACATTTACTGGCTGTGGTTACAAACATGGTGAAGGCAAGAGAATGGTCCAGGAAGACTGCCAAGAGGTGATTTCTCTTCACAGGAAGGGCAATGGCTATAAGAAGATTGCAAAGATGTTAAACATACCAAGAGACACCTTAGGAAGCATCATTCGCAAATTCAAGGCAAAGGGCACTGTTGAAACGCTACCTGGTCGTAGCAGAAAGAAGATGCTGACTTCGACTGCTGTGCGCTACCTGAAGCGTAGAGTGGAGAGAAGTCCCCGTTGTGACTGCTGAGGAACTCCTGGGGAAAAGATTTGTCAGATGTGGGTACTGTTGTTTCAGCCCAGACAATAAGACGCACACTGCGTAATGAAGGCCTCCGTGCCAGAATGGCCCAGGCGTACCCCCTTGCTGTCTGAATAAGAAGAGTCGGAGCGAGGCAGTATGCCAAAAGCCATGTGTGACAAACCACAAAAGTGTGGGATAGTGTTCTGTGGACTGATGAAACAAAATTAGCTGTTTGGGCCCTGGATAACGCTATGTTTGGAGAGGGAAGGCCCAACAAGGCTATGATGAAAAGAACACCTTGCCTACTGTGAAGCATGGTGGAGGGTCAATCATGCTTTGGGGAAGTTTTGCTTCTGCAGGTACAGGGAAGCTTCAGCGTGTGCAAGGTACCATGAATTCTCTTCAGTACCAGGAGATATTGGATGGAAACGTGATGCAGTCCGTCACACACCTGAGGCTTGGGAGACGTTACAGGGGACCTTTCAACAGGACAATATCCCAGCATACCTCCAATGATATATATCCACTAGAGCATGGTTGCAGAGGAAAGGCTGGATGAAACATTTTGGAGTGGCCATCGCAGTCACCAGACTTAAATCCGATTGAGAACCAGGGGAGGGACTTAAAGAAAGCATATTGCAGTGCGCAAGCCTAAGAATGTGACTGAACTGGAGGCCTTTGCCCATGAAGAATGGGCGAAGATACCGTAGATCGCTGCATTGATGACTTGTGTCAAGCTATGCTTCACGTTTGAAAGCTGTTATAACTGTAAAAGGATGCTGTACTAAGTACTAAGATTGAGGGTCACTTGGGGGTTAATAAAACTGGGGCTGGGCTCACAGAAAAGACATTTACGGGGGAGGGCTCCATTTCATTATAACTGGGATGCTCCATTGATGATCTACCTACGGGGGTGGCTCCATTTAATGTAAATGTACGGGGGAGGGCTCCATTGATGATATAAAACGGGGGAGGGCTCATTGCCAAAATATCAATTTCAGGGAGGGCTCCATTGATGACACAATATATACAGGGGAGGGCTCCATTGATGATATATATATACAGGGGAGGGCTCCATGATGATGAGGGCTCCATTGATGATATATATATACAGGGGAGGGCTCCATTGATGATATATATACAGGGGAGGGCTCCATTGATGATATATATACAGGGGAGGGCTCCATTGATGATATATATACAGGGGAGGGCTCCATGATGATATATATACAGGGGAGGGCTCCATGATGATATATATACAGGGGAGGGCTCCATGATGATATATATACGGGGGAGGGCTCCATGATGATATATATACAGGGGAGGGCTCCATTGATGATATATATAATACAGGGGAGGGCTCCATTGATGATATATACAGGGGAGGGCTCCATTGATGATCTATATACAGGGGAGGGCTCCATGATGATGTGGACACGTGGAGCACTCCTGGACGACGGCATGAACATGGGGAGCGATCCGAAACGGCGGCGTCCACTCGGGGAGCGCTCAGGGAGACATGGGAAAACGTGCATGGATGACGGCGTGAACACGAGAAACCGCTCCTGGATGACGCCATTAACACGGGGAAGCACTCCGTGACGACGCCGACATCCACACTCTGATGATGATGACGTCCACTCGGGGAGCGCACTCTGATGATGACGTCCACACAGGGAGCACTCTCTGATGATGATGACGTCCACATGGGGAGCACTCCAGATATCTTCCCTAGGCCCTCTGCCTGGTGTTGACTTGCTCAGCGAAGGAGAAAAAAAATGTAGAAGGTACCCTGTAATAGAAGCCCTTCCTGGTGCACTACAGAATATTCTTTAAAGTGACTCTGTCATTGGGGAAAATAATGTCCCCTTCGCAAAAAAAGAGTAATAATACTTCAGTGCCCCACTGGGCTCCCATCTTCACACTCTTGCAGAGATACCGCAGCAGAAGAAACATCTGGATTTGACAGTTGGAGATGTATTGAATGTCTGTGTTTCCCCCAGGGGGGGGACACAGGCCTAGACGAGAAGTGTCAATCCTGGTAATTCTTCAGCTTGTGTACTTCTGCCGTAGTATAAACACTGGAGGCACAGCCAGTGGGACAGGTAGCTTGTTTTATTCTTCTTTGACAGAGTGCATTTTTTTTTATAGAAGAACTGAAGATAAAACTATTTTTTAATTTTGAATAGAGTAAGGTCTAATTTACACTTGACTGTGGAGAGGTGGTAAAAATAGGCAACTGAACCTTGTTTTTGCCGTCCTCTTCTCAAGCTGCAGAGAGCGCTACATCACAGCGTATACACATGATGCACTGCTCTGTGTCACAGCAAGAATTATCCCCACTTTGCGTTTTTTAAGAAGTACTGCCATCGAGCTTCACCTATTCAAGTGAATGAGGCTGTGCCGAAACGTGAGCCAAACATTAAAGCACATGATTGCAATGTGGTATTTCCATTTAAAAAAAAAAAAAAAAAAACATGACAGGAGGTTTCCCCATTCCCTATTCAATCTAAAATGGGCGAAAAAATGGGTTTTAGATTTACTTTATTGTTGTTTTTTATGTCTTTAAGATCTCTGCAGAGGAAGTTGAAGAACAAATAATTCAGTATCAGCTGGAAAAAGAGCAGCAGAGACTGGTTCGTTTCCAGGGGGAGGTAAAGCGAAGGGTTAATCAGCACGCCAAACAGCGGAAACGACATCAGCTACAGAAATCGTACGATGCTGTAAGTGCATGTTCACCTTCATCAGTTCAGGAGTGTCTTGGTAACTCGTTCTGCAAGAAGATCTAAATAAATCCATCAGATGCTTCCAAAAAGTATTGTAAATAGTAAAAGGTATATGAGCGCTGGGTGACAACTCGCTAAATACAGGTGGGAGCAGCCAGCATGGGAGAGGAAACAACCTCAGATCCTCCAGATAATGCCAAAGATAAACGTACAAATGCGGCGCTCAATATTAGTTACAGTGTACAGATAGTATCTCACAGTATTGGAACTTAATGACACATGCGGATCAATGTGACTGTTGTGACACAGTGAGCAACAATAAAGCTTTCGTGACCGTTGTGACTATGGTATTGAATAAATAGCAACAGAGCTTATTGGATATAGTTCATGCGGAGTTAAATAACTATAAACGAACAGTAATATTCATAGCCTCCATGGCTGGAAGCAACGAGCATATTATATACCGGTTGGATAGTATCCCATATGTCATGAGCTGATAGAATATAGTTCGTGCAGATTATTGTGACTGCGGTGACACAAAAACAGCGAATAACTTTCGTGACTGCTGTGGCTGGAAACAATGAGTGTACTAAACACTAACCAGATGGCACAATTAAATGTGCGTTGGAGTAAATAAGACCTACTCCTCGGTACTCTGGGGGTGGGAACTCAGCATGCGGATGTGATCATCAGGTGGAGGTCCTTCACCAGCTGTCATCTATCCAAAGTAGGGTTCCACGTCTCAGGTTTAACCGTGTGCAGCAGTGCTTTTTATAGCCATCAGGGGGATCATACACGCAGGTGGAAACCAGGGAAAGGATCCTTCAGGTTTAGGACTCTCGGTGCCAGATAAATGAGCCCAGAGAGAAAAGAACTCCAATAGTGTAGTATGTTTAATGATAATATTAGAGTAATATCAATGTACAGGTAAAAAAACAGAGCCAGCACTTACATCTGATGTGGTCAGTAGGTAAAGTAGTTAGCAATCCATGAGAAAGGGTATCTCCCTTCCAAAAAGTATTTGAATTAACAATTGTTATTGCAGTAAAATAAAACAGATTCTGGAAACCACAAACCAAACATTTTAAGCAGTATGCATTCATAGTTTATGTTACACCTATTTTTTTTGGGTCAGATAAACTACGTAGTTTGCGCACAGTACCCCTAATTAAGAATGGTGCACAGTGCATGCCTGGCACACTGTCATTGAGGAGGGAATGACACAACAAGATATAGCAGCTCACTTTACCACTTCTTCTCCTCTATCCCCTGAGATCAGGAAGTCATAGACAGGGGGAAGAGAAGTGCAGAAAAACATAGAGCTGGCTGCTTCCTCTGATGAGTGTCTGTCCAGCAACTCATTATAGTGAACCTGCTAGCTGCCAGGTATATACAGAGGGAGGAGTCAGTCCAATCTACAAATCTGCGCCTGGTCAGAGAGATCTGCGGCTATAATCTAAGCTACATTCTGGTACATCGGTTTTCATAAGGCACAATAACTGCAACATTCCTACGACAAGTTGCCATTTGTGATTTTTCATTTTCTGGTGCACATGCTGCAAATCCTCTTTAACATAGGCACACTGTGTTGTTTATTTGACACTTCAAATGAGCCAAAAAATGTTGGAAAAACTATAGTTTATTGGACCCATTATTTTGTGTCTGTGTTTCCTTCCTGATGTGTGTAACTGTACAAGTATTATTGCTTTTTTTATTAAAAATAACTAGTGATCCTACCAAGACACGTTGTTTGCTGTTTCAACCTGACCATGCCAAGCATGGAAGTAGATCCGTGCAGGCATGGTCAGTTTGAACCTTAGTGCCTCTCTGTCAAAGTGTCAGTATGTGGTTCCTATACACGGCATGTCTCCATGCTCAGTTCAGCCACTGTAGGTTTGGTTTGTAGGTCAAAAATTGGTAAACTGTGGCTTGAGACCTTAGAGAGGATTCAAGGAGTCTTTCAGTGTTCCTCTGTTGCCAGGTTTACAATATATTGGGGTTGATTTGCTAAAGTGGAGAGTTCAAAATCTGCATAGCAGCCAAAGCTTCAGGTTATAAATCGGCAGGTTTTGTGTCAAAGCTTAATTGAACAAGTTGAAGTTAGAAGCTGATTGGCTACCATGCGTCAGATTTTGCACTCTCCAGTTTTAGTTAATCAACCACATTGCATATGAAACTGCAGGTGATGGAATCTCAGAAAAATAACTGACACTCAGCTTGATTATTATTAAAAGGAAATATCCAGGGCTCCATCCTGCCTCTTGGTGGGCACAGTCATGGTCCACCAATATATTTGTTACGGTGCTCACAGATGGGCAGATTTCTCACCATGAACAAGGGATGTTGATGAGAATTCTCCCTGTTTTAGGACCGACCTTGTGACTCCACTGAGGTTTTATTTGCGATAACCACTTCCTTCTCTTTTCAGTGACACTCATTTGCACAGAGATTTTCCATCAAATTAATAGCAAGCACTTTATGTAGTCAATCTCTTCTTATTTCCCACTAAGGAATACCTGCACAATCCAGTTTGTCACATTCTATGCTCAAATTGTGCTCTGTATGTCATCCCTTAGCTATATCTACCCCAATGTAAAAATCCTGTCCTAGACTGCCTATTAGATGAACAGATCTATTCACAGAAAGATTGCTGGAGTCACGGGACAGTTGAGGCCTGTCAGTCTCCTTGAAACAGTTGTAAAGGATTTATTCTCATTTGGCCACTGAATACTGCATGCGGCATTTGGGCCAGGGCTGACTGCACTGTTGTTATTCTCCAGGATTTACACAGTGCCAACAATTCACACTGCACTTTACAATGTAAGGGGAAGCATTGCACTTACATTACAAATCAAGACAAGAGAGTTAGAAGGGCCTTGCTTGTGAGAAGCTTACAATCTAAAAGGGAGGGGCAAATGAAAGAGAAGGTGATGGCTGTGTGGGGGATGTGTTGATGATAAAAGTAAAAGTCCAGCTTTTAGACAGAGGCTTCCTTGAAGAGATGAATTTTCAGGAGTCACTTAAAGACAGACCGAGTAGGACATAGCTGGACAGAATGGTGTAGAGAATTCCAGAGGATAGGAGAGGCTCTGAAGAAGTCCTGGAGGCCAGCATGGGAGGAGGAGACAAGGGAACTAGAAAGCTGGAGGTTTTGAGAGGATCAGAGAGTACGGTTTGGGTGATGTTTTGAGACAAGGTCTGTGTTGTAGCTGGAGGCAGAGTTGTGGGTGGCTTTGTGTTTTTTCTTAGCAATTTTGTTTTTGTTTTTTTTTTATTTTGGTTTATTTGTTTGTTTTTCTGGGTGAGCAGAAGTTCAGCAATGAGCTAATAGGAATGATAAGTGCAGATGGCAGTGGCATTCTGTGCCTATATAAGCCTAGTCTAATGGACTGTGAACTCTTTGATGCTGTGTGCTCAGTCCATGTTTTAGACTCATCTCCTGTGTCTGATTCCCTTGATCAGTTGGCACGGGAGGGTCTTATTGTCAAGCAGTCTTCAGACGCTGCCATGCACTTCACTCCAAAGAGAAACACCTGTACTTACCGTAACACACAAGTTGCCATCGGCAGTCCTCGCATCCGTTGTGTCTCAGCAAAGAAGATAGAAGACAATGACGAGGATGGAGATGAAAATGGAAACCGTTTATTTAAAGCGCATTCCAGAACTGTGAGTACTATATCATGCTACAGAAAAATGAGTTCACAACTGGAAACAAAGTTTGCCTTGAAGGCTTTACACACTTAGTAAAAACTTGCTGTACACTTACTGTATATACTGAAGTCTGTCTGTGTATAAGGGCTTAGCATGGACAACTGTCACGAAAATGTGTTAAGTTTCCATTGTGAGCAGAATACATGTAAATCCTCTAATTAATATATGGGATTTATTTGAAAACACCATTTACAGATTTTCATGTGTGTGCAGTATGACCTGGATAAAAAAGTGACGTCAGTGTGGTTTGTAAACAAAATACTGTACATTAAGGGGTGCTCAGTAGGACTTGGCTATGACTTACAGGGGATATAAAAAGTCTACACACCCCTGTTAAAATGTCAGGTTTCTGTGATGTGAAAAAATGAGACAAAAATAAACCATTTCAGAACGTTTTCCACCTTTTAATGTAACCTTTAAACTGTACAACTCAATTGAACAACAAACTGAAATCTTTTAGGTGGAGGGATGTAAAAATAAGAAAAAACTAAAAAAAAAATGGTTGCATAAGTGTGCACACCCTTAACCACTTCAAGTCTGGACACTTTTACCCCCTTCCTGTCCAGGTCAATTTTCAGCTGTCAGAACTGTCAATTTTGAATGACAATTGTGCAGTCATGCAACACTGTACCTATATGAATTTGTTATAATTTTTTTGAGACAGATAAAAATTTATTTTGGTGGTAATTATTCACCACTTGTATTTTATTTTATTTTTTTTGCTATATAAATGAAAAAGTCCAAAAATTTTTGAAAAAAAATGTGTTTTTCTTATACAATTTTGCAAATAACCTTTCTTCATAAATCTTGGCCAAAATGTATTCAGTTATTTTTTTTAGTAAAAAAAAAATAACCCAAATTAGTTTATAACCAAAAATTTATCATTTTAAAATTTTTTTTCTTACATTTTTATTTAATTTTTTTAGATTATTTGTTTTTTTTTTAACATACTGTCACTCTTGCAGTACAGTGTCACCATAGTGACACTCTACTACTTCTGGGGGGTGATGAAGCCATAAAGGCTGTAAAAGCAATCATTTCTTTCTCTCTGGCTGCATTCTTGCAGCCACTGAGAAATACTGTGAGAGCTGTTATTGGTCATAGCTTGTCACATGGTACAAGGCTGTTGTGAATAGCCTTGTACCATGTGATCTCTGTGATCATTCACAGATTTCACACATAGTAAGCAATGATGTCAGAAGTGAGATCTTGCTTACTACTATTCATGTGATCACTGATTGGCTAATCGGTGATCACATGATCGGCACCTCACACAGAGGTAATTTGAGCACTATTTTCGGATATGAGTCTATCAGCATGTCACATCTTGACTTGGTAATATTTGCCCACTCTTCCTTGCAAAAACACTCCAAATCTGTCAGATTGCGAGGGCATCTCCTGTGCACAGTCCTCTTCAGATCACCCCACAGATTTTCGATAGGATTCAGGTCTGGGCTCTGGTTGGGCATTCCAAAACTTGAATCTTCTTCTGGTGAAGCCATTCCTTTGTTGATTTGGATGTATGTTTTGGGTTGTTATGATGCTGAAAGATGAAGTTCCTCTTCATGTTCAGCTTTCTAGCAGAAACCTGAAGGTTTTGTGCCAATATTGACTGGTATTTGGAACTGTTCATAACTCCCTCCACCTTGACTAAAGCCCCAGTTCCAGCTGAAGAAAAACAGCCCCAAAGCATGATGCTGCCACCACCATGCTTCACTGTGGGTGCGGTGTTCTTTTGGTGATGTGCAGTGTTGTTTTTTGCGCCAAACATATCTTTTGGAATTATGGCCAAAAAGTTCAACCTTGGTTTCATCAGACCAGAACACATTTTCCCACATGCATTTGGGAGACTTCAGATGTGTTTTTGCAAAATGTAGCCGGGCTTGGATGTTTTTGTTTGTAAGAAAAGGCTTCCGTCTTGCCACTCTTCCGCATAGCCCAGACATATGAAGAATACGGGAGATTGTTGTCACATGGACCACACAGCCAGTACTTGCCAGATATTCCTGCAGCTCCTTTAATGTTGCTGTAGGCCTCTTGGCAGCCACTCGGACCAGTTTTCTTCTCGTCTTTTCATCAAATTTGGAGGGACATCCAGGTCTTGGTAATGTCACTGTTGCACCATATTTTCTCCACTTGATGACTGTCTTCACTGTGTTCCATGGTATATCTAATGCCTTGGAAATTATTTTGTACCCTTCTCCTGACTGATCCCTTTTTAACAATGAGATCCCTCTGATGCTTTGGAAGCTCTCTGCGGACCATGGCTTTTGCTGTAGGATACGACTAAGAAAATGTCAGGAAAGACTTCCTAGAACAGCTGAACTTTATTTAGGGTTAATCAGAGGCACTTTAAGTGAAGGCAGGTGTGTACTGACTGCTATTTAACATGATTGTGAATGTGATTGCTTAATTCTGAACACAGCTACATCCTCAGTTATAAGAGGGTGTGCACACTTATGCAACCACATTATTTTAGTTTTTTGTTTCTCTCCCCCCCAATAAAAGATTTCAGTTTGTTTTTCAATTGAGTTGTACAGTTTATAGGTCACATTTAAATTCTTAAATGATTTACCTTTGTCTAATTTTTTTTACATCACAGAAACATGACATTGTAACAGGGGAATGCAGACGTTTTATATCCACTGTATGGGGTCAGTAGGTCCTACCCCCCCCCCCCCCCCTTTTTTTTTTTTTTTTTTTTTTTTTTTTTTTTTTTTTTTTAAGCCACCAAGAGCCCAAGCTCCACCCCCAAGTAATCTATGGGAACTATTTTCCGGTAGTCCTTCTGCGGCCTCTCCTGGCAGTCATTACATGTGAGAGCTCAAGTAGCCTCTCCCAGCTACTGTGTATCCCTACTCAGCCTCACTAGTAACTTGCACATGTGTGGAAAGTTCATTATCAAGAAGGAATCCCTACAGCTTGCATTGTGTCAAATATATTACGTGACATCTCGCACCAGTGTGTTGTGTGTTTGCAGACACGTCAAAGCAGTGATAATACCTTTCTGTTATTGAACATCTTTTAAAGCTGAAATCCAGCCTTCCCTTCAGTCTTGCACAGGGGTAAAGGCTCCTCTCCTGGACTGAAATAGCTTACTCTGATTTCACTGCACACTTTAAGATTCTCACAACATGTATTAGAAGCTGCAGCAAATCAGATGTTGGGTCAGCTGCAGGAAATAATGGCACTTATCATGATTTTCTTAGTGTCTTTCTTGTTTTGTGTGTTTTGCGGACAGCTGAAGGAAACTATGAGACAGGTGCGTGGCCGTCTGGCAGCTCTGAAAACTGTGGAGAGTGAAGAGTTAACCCTGCCAGGGGGCCTTTGGAAGGTTTCCCCTACTAGAGATGTGAGTTCAGAGCTTCCCTTTATTGCCTTTTACTGTACACCATTCCAAAGGGCAGAGTGGTTTCACCATTTGAGCACCAGCCAGGATGCAATACCTAATCCAAAATTTCCTTTTTATGATGCCTTGTGTATGCTGGAGAGCAGGATCATAAATTTTTATTCTTGTAATTGTATGTTGCAAAACCAGCATTGGCTTTTCATCTGCAGTAAAATATTTCAGCACCTTTACATCAAGGATACAAATTGTGTTAATGTGGTTCTAAAGGTTCTGAGGGGACTTGGCAAGGGGGAGGGGCCAGAAGAAACAGTGGGGGATCCAAGAAGAGGAGGGTCGAGGCTGCTCTGTGCAAAACCATTGCACAGAGCATGTAAGTGCGATATATTTATTAAAAATAAAGAGAAAAAAAAAAGCAATTAGAACCACTTTAACTGGCACAAACAGGCCTTATATGAAGGCAGAGAGCCTGGGATGAAAGCCAGACACATGACAATACACTATTAGAACCAGATATAGCATATACTTTCTGACACTTCCTCCTTCTCCTTTACAGTGTTCTATTTGATGTCCAATCCATTCCATTTACTTTTTTTTTATTATGATTAATAGTAAGGGCACCCCCTGTGAAATTTTTGTAACAAAAAGCCTTGCAGTACGCCCTCCTCACACTGCAAGGGTTACGTGTTTTGTTAAGTTTAGGGGTAGTGGAATAATTTGTAATAATTACTTTGGTCCGTGTTCCAGCAGGCTTCCACCACGCTGTACTACCAGTTTTCTGAAGCCTCTTCTCTATGGTGCACTGGCCAGAATTCTTGCACTGAGATCACCACATACAACACAAGACCAATAGCCCTGCATTGTATGTGAGGACAGAATGGGCACAGAGAAGAGGGCAGCGCCAGAGCCTGACATTAAATTGAGCAGCAGGATTGCTTTTCAGTTAAAGCTGTTATGAACAGTGGCTTAGTGGTTAGCACTTCTGCCTTGCAGCACTGGGTTGCTCTTTTTTGAATCCTGGTCAAAGCACTATCTGCGTGCATTTATGTGTTCTCCTGGTGCTTGTGTAGGTTTCTTCTCACAGTCCATAGGTATGCCAGTCAGTTGTGTGACTATGGTCTAAATTGGCCCTAGTATGTATGCATGTGAGATAGTGATCTTCGCTGTTAAGATAGTAGCAGCAGAAGCTTTCCATATCAACCATTCAGATTTCAGTTCCAGCCATGAAGTGCTCATGTTGTATTGGCAAAGTGGTTTATACAGAGATATATGAATGTGTGTTTGTTTCTTTCTGTAGAATCCCATCTCCAGGAGATCTCCTGTTCTGCTTCAACCACATACAGAGAAACCACAGTCCCTTCTGAGGGGATATCATGACCTGCCAGCAGAGCTGCTTGTTCCAGAGCCTGAGGGGCAGTCAGAGGACAGAATTGGATCTGGGAAGCCAGTGAGTTCAGTATTGATTATCTGCTAACAGGAAATTTTGAAAATTCTCTTCTCTAGGGCACAAATGATTAACAAACGTTTTGATAGAGCTTTTAACCCCCTCCTCATTAAAACATTTTTGCTTTTCTTGGATGTATCCTGGTTCTGGTTTGAGGGACTACAGCCCCCCCCCCCCCCCCCCCCCCCCCACCCGTTCCTGTCCAGGAGTGATATAAAATCATTCCAATCCACTGATATAAAATATACTGAGATATTAAAGTTCAAATGGACACATGGTCTACTCTGGAAAGTACATTTGAGGCCTCCCGTCTCCCTGTATTCATCATCAAAGGTTTCTTTATACACCATTTGCCTTCTCAAGGGTTTTCTGGATTACACAGATACAAGACAATTTAGCCTTCCTCAGGAATCAGGCTAGGCAGGGTTCCAGTCTATAAGGCCAGGCAGGCCTGGGAACACACTCCTGGCGTGTCTTTTTATGCACACTACTGCAGTAAATTGTCTCCTGGGGAGAGAGCACTGGCTTTCTAGCCTCATACCCTTTTGTGAGCAACACCCACCTGACTGTAATCAGTTCTACGCCTGTTCAGGTGCCATTTTACTCATTCATACAGGTGTACTTAAGCATACACCCGAGTGAGGACCTTGTTTTGCCTGCAAGGGATGCACAGGTGTTCCATGCAGACAGTCTCATTCATATCAACTGTGATACAGCAGCTGCTCCCAAGTTGACATCTTTGTGGGTGCAGACCCCCAAACTAACACTGTCTATATTCAGGAACCCACACCCACATGGATGTCAAACATTTCATGTCAGTTTTGCATAGTGTGATAAGTGCTCACTGCTTGCTCTGCTGGATATGATTTCTGCTTTGTGATGCACCCTGGCATTGCTTTGTCAAAGAGTGCAGGTACATATTCTTCATGCTCTGTGTGCGTGTGCACTTTTTATGTTCTTTTTGATACCAGTCACAACAAGACAGGAAGTGAGAGGCAGTAATAAAAAATGGGCAGAAATGCATGCTAACCCTCTGCCACTCCATGCAGATCCCAAGTCCACTTTAAAGTATAATTAAGGGCAAAACTTTTTGGGGGGGCAAGGATGTTCAAATAGCCAATATGTCACAGATCAACATGACAACATTGAAAAATAAATAACAAGACTTTTGTAAACCCCGGGCCCCCCTCAGTGGACTGAGCCGTGTAGGGAGACAACCTCATGTGGAGTCAATGTAGTGGAACTCTGCTGCCCATTTTCTTTTTCTTAAATAATACCGAGTAGGAACAGACAAGGCATAGAGAACAAGAGAGAGAGAGAGAGATAGAAGGAAGGGAGGGGAAAGGTCGAGGGAGGGGAAAGGTGCTGTGCAGGAGAAATACCCCTTTTAATACATTTGTAAGAGCCAGGTAGGATTGAGTGTAGGACAATCTGTGACGTGTTAGGTATGGTTGAATCAGTAACAGCAGTGTATATATTAAGAGCCAAGTCCCAAAATGCATGTGTGGGGGGGGTCACTGCCACCAGATATACAGCAGAGCCCATTCCCATAAGGCAACGCCAACACCGGTCAGAGACAGAGTGGTTAATCCTAAGAAGTATAGTGGGGCATCGGTACCACTGAGAAAGCAGTTTAAAATGAGTCTCTTGGGCCTTACTAGCCAGCAACAGACAATCGGTAAAAGCAAACAATTTCTCCCAGTCCTCATCAGACAGCTGAGCATCAAGATCAGAGGTCCATTTACATGTGAATTCTGGACAGTCTAGATGGACCTTAAAGAGGAGAATTTTATAAACTGCTGAGAGCAGTTGTAAGGGCAGAAACGCAAATCTTCAAAAGAACCTGGGTCCCTATTTAGAAATTCTGAATTAGAAAGGGACCAGTATTATGAGCAAAGTTGCTTATAGACCATCCAGTAGACTGGTGACGGCCTGGTAGATGTACAAGACATCTGGAAGGAGAGGATAAGGCCTCCAAAAAAGAATTTACACCGAACATCTATGGGTTTGCCTCTCCCAAGCGAGGAAGAAAGGTCTTGTCAAAGCAGGTGGAAATTGTGGAGTCCTGAACAAAGTGGTTAGTGGCCCTACCATCAAAGAAATACCCAATGAAGAGAGCAGGCCATCCCAAACATGCAGCTGACTGGTTGTGATGCAAGGCAAAGCAGAGGGTGGTAAACCAGGCTTTATCCATTACCAGGAGTGTTTTTCAAATTATCTGGGGCCTCCTGGCCCTGAATAAACACAACCTGGTCCTGTCCTGTTTTTGCTATAGGACAGGAAGTAAAGGGAAATCTCCCCATTGAAACCCAGATGGCAAAAAAAAAAAAAAAAAAAAAACACTTGACAGGGGTTATAAAGCTCTCTATCCAAAATGGAAAAAGAGTGTTTGCATTCAGTTCTGCTTTAATGTAGACATTATCTCTTTGAAAAATCCAAAACGCCAGCCCTCCAGATGGATCCTAACTTCAGCACTGCAGGATCCCTGGCACATTTTGGCCTATCCTTGTATGCTGAGGATACAACCCCAGACATAAGTGCCTGTACATGGGGTAGGTACTATGCGGTGATGTCGTTTGCAGTGTCACATGTTCCTCCCTATTATCACATAGTAGTCAATAATTGTTCTTTTTGACACCTGTGTATTTTCAGATATGTAATCGTCTAATGAAGGCATCTTATCCCGCTGGTCCAGTGCCAGCATTTAACACAGATTACCGAGCTGCTCTTGTACTTCGTCCAGGAGCTGATGAAGAGGAAGACCGAAAACAAGTGGGTGAAAATGTCTATGACTAATTATTTCTACTAATAACTGTGCTGCAGGATTGCTCTTTAATTAGTAGGAATAGGAGCTGGCTGACCTTGCAATTCGGTTTCTGTGATAACCTCATTGTTTGTTAAAGCTGATTAGATGGAGCCTTCTCTTCAGTCTTGCACAGTTGTTCAAGCTCTTCTCCTCCTGTACTGAACTGGCTTACTCCAATTTTACTGCACACTGTGAGCTTCTCATAGTGTATATTAGAAGCTGCAGAAAGTCAGAGCCTGCCTCATTTCCTGGCTGCAGGATGTCCAGCATTGTCTAAATCTTTCCATCCTAGCCTTACTACCCTTGCCCTGCCACATTTTATTCATTGAATTTTTAGTCCTTTCAGTAACGGAGGTTCCGCATGACATATGGGTGTTACTTGGGGTGGTCTGCATGTTAATGCTTCCTGGTTAGGAACACCCACTCCTCCAGACTGAAATCCACCCATCAAGGCATTTTGATATTTGAATAAATCCTCCAAAGAGCCAGCTCACTGCTTGCATAAGTGCAGAGGACTTTCAGGAAGAGTACTGAGGTAGGTTGAAGTGATGTTTTCCGGAACCTATGTACAGAACCCTGCAAGCCCCTCCCACCAGCCATATTACGCCTTCATTGCAAAGAAAAGCACAGAGACCTAGTGATGATGTCACAGAGTCTAAGATAGGGTATGTAATGAAAATGGAGGGGTTTTATTTAAATATTTCATGAGCATGTTGATACGGTGGGAGAAGGAGAAATTAGAGAAGGCAAAGTATAAGCAGATGAAACACGAACTTTAGAGCTCGTGATTTAAGAGTACAATGCTGGTGCTCTCTAACTAATGCCTGAGATCTCACTTTTAGTTTGTGTTTGTTGCAAATTTGCATAGATGGCAGTGTAATGTGTGCCCCGTGTGTTAATCACCCTGTGTTGTCCTAGATAAAAGTCATAAAAATATAAGATGTCTAATTATTCTGGAAGTGTTCCACTAACAATGGTAATGGTTTTGGTGACTTCCAGATATTATTTGTAGATTGTAATCAGAGGTTAAAGGTTTCTGCAAGTCATGAATAATCCTTATTGCAGACTATTCCTATTTTTTGGTAACATTTTTTTTAATCAAGATTCTTCTCTGCATAACTACTAGAGCTGGCCTCTGTGATTGCAGCTATCTGCAGTTTATTTACTGCTAAGTGGCCGTAAAATGTCTGTATCTAGACACAGATGGGACAGTTCTGCTGCAATGGTTGGCCTTGACCTACTCTCCTCCAATGGTTCTACGGACCTTTGTTCATGCCCTCGGAAGATAACATTTGGAAAACTGTTACCCTTTGATTATAGTGTTTGCCTTGTCCTTTGTTTCCTCAGTAGCTCTGTCAGTTTCTGACTCTCTCTGACTTCAGAGATTGTAGGCATGATACTGTGCATTCCACAGCAGTCTATAGCTGATCTGTCCCCACTGCCTTGGTGATTTCTCAGCCATTGGTTTGTAGTGATTATTTTTTACTCTGATTCGAAGTCACTATAAACTCTACCTGAAGACATTTACTTTGAGAAGTTGAAGTCTTCTACTATCCCTCCAGAACTAAGAGGCCATTTCAGCTCTGATGCAGTACTTACTACTCTGAATCTGGAGGATCAGTGTGTTATTTCCTGTCCTGGGTCTTTCAGAGCCCCTGCTGCTGCAAAGAACTTCCTGATGCACCCGCTTTTCGAGATCTGCCTCTGTGGTGATTGGAAACACCCTCACATGCTCTTGACACCCCCTGATCTCTTACTGGACTTGTTTCCATTTGGAAGGTATTTTGTTAAACAGTGGTTTACACCCACTGTGGGTCTGTCTGTGGCCTACCTTACCAGGGAAACTACTAAGGAAGTAGATTGTGTTCTTATATTCAGGAATCTACTGATCAACAAGTAGAATCTCTTATGTAAAACTCAGTTCTAGTTGGCAGGCCCTGCCTTTTGCCCTATTCTGACAGTGTCCTTAATTTGTCAAACCGTGGCAGAATTGGCTAAATCTTTTATGGCATCTCTCTCCTGTGGCAGTGGAACCTTCACTGATGGAGCATATAGAGCAGATGGTTGGAGCCTTGTACTTTAGCTATGATGGCCTGCAGGAAGCATCTCAGCTTGACTCCCACATTGCACATATTCAGAGCACTCAGGTTTAAGTGCTGGTCTGCACACCCAGCATCCAAGTTGTGCTTCACACTCATGTTCTTCGAGGGACAACATATCTTTCGGTAGAACCCTAATATTATAAAGTATGCCACTGGAGGAAGAAAACTCCCCTCCCATCACGTACGCAGCCTAGGGAAAGAGCCACTAAGTCTACTACCTTTTTTGTTGCTTTATTCCAGGAATATGTTCATTCTAGGCCTTACAAACTCGGGCCTCTGGCCAACTTGCCAAACCCTCAAGAAAGGCTTTATTAACATGAAGGTATGCCCCCACTTTTGACAATGGGGAGAGCAGCTTTTGGTAATCTTTATGGATCTCTAGATAGGTTTGCCCTTCAGGCCTCTGGTTCAGAAAGTGTTTCTCCAGTGATACAAACTGAACATTCACTTCCAAATCCAACTTGGCTCCCTGCCTTCCACCTTCCTGTGTGATGACACAGATTAGCAGACCTACCTCTGGGCCTAGATTTCGTAGTCCCAGCCCCTGTGTCAGGGCGGTCTCAGTAGCTGTATTTCAACCTGGTCACTGTTCTCCTTCCCAAAGAGAACATCTATCTCCCTTGGGGTCTGTAGATTCAAACATTTTGCAAGGTACTCACTGGATATCTCAACACTTCTATTGCATCCTGAATTTCCAGAAATCAACACTGTTATTCTCATCACTTGCAAAGAGCTTGGATCAGGATAGAATGTCCGTGATGATGTAGGAAACTGTCTTGTTGGCTCTGAGGAAGAGGCAAGTCTTTGAAACGAGTCAGCCTGTTGGAGATCCTCCTGTCCTGTCATTGGTTATGATGAATTGTGGACTGGATGCTGTTGTTATTTTTTGTTGAACTTTTTACTCATTTGTTACTTTATGAGTATAATACTTACCATCTTACCATACTTCTAAATAAAAATATGTTTTAAGGATAATGCACTAGGCCAGTGTGCCCTCTGTTTTGTTTTGTGATTGTAGAATGTCTGATCCCTGTTCTTCAGTACAGGAGTTTACCGTTCTCTTGACTGTTGCATGAGAGTGAATAGGTCTGTCTCTTCAAGGCAGCCCCTGTTTTCCAGCCTCTTTGCAGGCTGTCTCAGCAATACACTTTGTTGTCATGGCAAACGTTGGCTGTGTTTCTGAGCAATCCAAATTGGCTGCCCCTAAGGATCAGATAGTTCCTGGCACAGTGAATCAGTCTTCCAGTTCTGAACTTGGATGTATTTCCCTCCATCATTGGAGAATTATCCTCTCCCAGTCTACTTTGTGACATTTCAGGTAATGTGGTTCCTTTTTACATCACTGGATCATCCCTTTTGGTGAGCCTCCTGATCTGGATCTAGTTAGACAACATCACAGCTCCGGTGTGCCTCAGCCACTTAGAAGGAAAAGGAGATTCTGCTGCACCAATAGAGGTAGTTTGAAATTTGACCTAGGCATAGCCATACTTATAGTGGTGTTCACTGTTCATTTCAGTTGTGGACAGTTGGGGGACCAGGCTTCCCAAGCTCTTTTCATGTGGACTTTGGGAAAAGATCTATACAGCTGAGTGCAATCCAGAACTTGTGTTACAGGTGGAAGACCCTAGATGTGAACCCCCTAATACCCTAGTTTAACTCCACGCTAAGCAGGTTTGCCCCCAGCTGCAGGAATCCTCTGGTGGGAGATGTAAGGCCTTGTTCACACCATACGTACAGAAAACAGACGGAAACTGAGGTGCAGATTTCACTTGTAGAGATATCAGTTTACATCAGTTTTCGTGCACACTTCAGTGAGTTTTGTGGCAGATTCCTGTGCAGAAAAAATCTGCATGCGATACTAGTGTTGCGGTGTGAACAGAGCACATAGAGAACAGTTGATTTTGTTGTGCCCTTGCAGAACATGTGCACAAAAAATGACATCTCTGCACCATGGTGTGAACACAAGCCCAAAGGCCCCTTTGACACGGACGTTCTGATCAGGTCTGCCTGCCAGTTTTTCAGGCGGACCCGATCGGAACCTCTATTCTCCTCTATTGAGCGGCGGGTGTAAACGGATATGTGTTTGTTTACACCTGCCGACATCCAATCTGATCCACCAAAAAGAGACAGAAGGGGATCCATTCCCCATCCGTCTATCGGATCAGATGGGATGGCAGTCGGATGGAAACAGACATGCGGCCTGTTTCCATCTGGCTCCCCATAGAAGACAGCGGGCTGTGTCCGCTCTGCGGCAGTAGAGCGAACACAGACCTGTCATCCACTTGCTCAGCGGGGATCAGTGAGAGGGATCCGCTGACGGGTCCGCCCCGGATGCAAGGGGCCTAAGTGCTATGGTATCTCAGAAGTAATACTTTTATCTCTGCATCTAGGCCTTTCCTCCTTATCTTTCTCCAGACTCGAGAAGAAGGGCTTTCACTGATCTTTCTTGTTCTGGATTGATCCAAGTGAATGTGCTGATCTGATGAGGCTCTTGACTGTTGCTCTTTGGGATCTAACAGTTCGTTGTATTTGAAAAGCTGGGAACTGTGCTTCACAATGCTTCTAACAGATTAGTATTTGTCCAGAACTCAGCTCTCAACACACTATTATTAAGTCTGGATCCTTCCTTGTCAACCTTCAATCCCTTGCTTAAGACCTTGTGTAGAGCGTTCCCTTGTTCATATCCCTTTCATCCTTTGTGAATGTGTGGGATCAAATGTCAGTTTTTTCTTTATTCTCTAGGACTGCTATTTGGACTCGTTGGAAGTATTTATACTTCCCTTCACCCTCAAGGGGTTCTTACCCTGGTAGTCCTTGCTTCTGCGACTTGAGAATCGGAAAGGCCTATCAGCCTCTCTAGACATGGACTCCCATATACCCTTAGGTATCAGGTGAGTTGAGGCCGTCTCCTGGCCTAGGTCAGTTTCTGACCTTCTCCTCCAACAAGACATTCTGTCTGTTAGGCTGTAGTTACCTAAAGAGGATCTTTTTTCCCATAGTGACTACTATATGATTCATGCTGTGAGTTTGTACATACAGTGCCTTGAAAAAGTACTCATACCCCTTGAAATTTTGTCATGTACAACCAAAAACATAAATATATTTTTATTGGGATTTTATGTTGTAAACCAACAAAAAGTGGCACATAATTGTGAAGTGGAAGGAAAACGACAAATGGTTTTCAACATTTTTTACAAATATCTGAAAAGTGTGGCGTCCATTTGTATTCAGCCCCCTGGAGTCAATACTTTGTACAACCACCTTTTGCTGCAATAACAGCTGCATGTCTTTTTGGGATGTCTACCAGCTTTGCACATCTAGAACGTGAAATATTTGCCAATTCTTTGCAAAATAGCTCAAGCTCTGTCAGATTGGATGGAGAGCGTCTGTGAACAGCAATTTTCAAGTCTTGCTACAGATTATCAATTGGATTTAGGTCTGGACTGTGACTGGACCATTCTAACACATGAATATGCTTTGATCTAAACCATTCCATTGTAGCTCTGGCTGTATGTTTAGAGTCATTGTCCTGCTGGAAGGTGAACCTCCGCCCCAGTTTCAAGTCTTTTGCAGACAGGTTTTCTTCTAAGATTGCCCTGTATTTGGTTCCATCCATCTTCCCATCAACTCTGACCAGCTTCCCTGTCCCTGCTGAAGAAAAGCATCTCCACAATATGATGCTGCCACCACGTTTCACAGTGGGGATGGGTGTTTTCAGTGTGATGTGCACTTTTTTCCGCCACACATAGCGTTTTTGCTTTAAGGCCAAAAAGTTCCATTTTGGTCTCATCTGACCAGAGCACCTTCTTCCACGTTTGCTGTGTCCCCCACATGGCTTCTCGCAAACTGCACAAAAGGGACTTCTTATGGCTTTCTTTCAACAATGGCTTTCTTCTTGCCACTCTTCCATAAAGGCAGATTTGTGACGTGCATGACTGATAGTTGTCATGTAGACTGATTCTTCCACCAGAGCTGTGAATCTTTGCAGCTCCTCCAGAGTTACCATGGGCCTCTTGGCTGCTTCTCTGATTAATGATCTCCTTGCCCAGCCTGTCAGTTTAGGTGGACGGCCATGTCTTGGTAGGTTTGCAGTTGTGCCATACTCTTTTCATTTTCGGATGATGGATTGAACTGTGTTCCACGAGATGTTCAAAGCTTGGGATATCTTTTTTATAACCTAACCCTGCTTTCAACTTCTCCACAACTTTATCCCTGACCTGTCTGGTGTGTTCCTTGGCCTTCATGAAGCTATTTGTTCACTAATGTTCTCTAACAAACATCTGAGGGCTTCACAGAACAGCTGTATTTATACTGAGATTAAATTACACACAGGTGGTCTCTATTTACTAATTTGGTGACTTCTGAAGGCAATTGGTTCCACTAGATTTTAGCTAGGTGTATCAGAGTATAGGGGGCTGAATACAAATGCGCACCACCCTTTTCAGATATTTATTTGTAAAAAAAAATTAAAACCATTTATCACTATCCTTCCACTTCACAATTATGTGCCACTTTTTGTTGGTTTACAACATAAAATCCAAATAAAATACATTTATATTTTTGGTTGTAACATGACAAAATGTGGAAAATTTCAAGGGGTATGAATACTTTTTCAAGGCGCGTACCATACCATACCATACTATATAAACAACTAATTCAGTTTACTGAAATAATCAATTTACAAGAAAAAGGAGTCCTCCAGCGGTGCAGAGTATTTCAAGAGAGTTAGATAGAGAAAGGAGAGGAGTCCTTCAGGATTGCAGAGTATTTCAGCAGAGGAGAATTGGATGGAGGAAAGAGGAGAGTCCTCCAGCAGTGCAGAGTATTTTAGGAAAGGAGAGTTAGAGGAAGGAGCAGAGTCCTCCAGCAGAGCAGAGTATTTCAGGAGAGGAGAGTCAGATAAAGGAAGGAGAAGAGTCCTCTAGCCGAGCAAGGTATTTGGGTTGTGAAAGGAGCAGAGTAGTTCAGGAGAAGAGAGATCAATAAAGGAACAGAGTCATCCAACAGCACAGAATATTTCAGGAAAGGAGAGTTAATGGAAGGAGCAGAATCCTCCAGCAGTGCAGAGTATTTCAGGAGCTGGTTGTATAAAGAGCTGATTTTTATGCAGACAGGTAGGGTGTCTTTGTACATCCAGTGCCTGGTAACTTTACTATTAATCTGCCTATATATACTTTGTAAAGGTTAAATAAACCTCATAATTACATACAATGTTTTTGTACAAAATACTCACACAGGGATTGTATTTGGTGGTGGCCGAGGTAAAACAACAGTTTGATTATTTGAGGGAGGTACAGTATAATCCCAGTAATTGCACAGTTTGCAGTGATGACAGATATGTCACTTGTGTATTGGTGACCAGTGCAGTGTTTGTTTCTGTTGGATATGTCACAATTGTGAAGCTTGTCACGTTTTGCTTGACATATAAAGAACTCTTGATAAGTTATTGCATTTCTACTGTTTCAGGAGGCAGATCTCTTTTAGATCTTTAAAATTAACGTATTAAGTATTCTGTCTTGGTTCAGGTTGTGCAAATCATCAGATTTTGTGTCTATACCCTCCCAGATTTAACATCATTTAGAGTCAGTGGCAGCCGTTTAGTGTCTCTTTAGTGAGCCAAATCATGACAATGATGTAATGAGTATGACCAGAATGAAAATGTGAAGTCCACGCTCTATAATGCTCTTCCTAATTTTGTATGTAGTATGAAATTACGCCAGGTATAATTTTGCAGCCCTTAAAGAGTACCTGTATCGTTGAAGTTGTGACCATAAAAGGCGGCAGAGGACAAATGACATGTCAGTAGCATTATCCGCATTGCCTGTGGTCTCCCTCCAGCTGAGATTTTCCCAATTACTAAGTAAGCTATATGACTGCATCTGTAGAAGCAAAAGTATTTTTGAATAAACCAGCTTTAAGAATAACCAAAAATGTAATAAAGCAGTGTTCGTTAGCAGCCGGTTGGAGCACCTACCCAGATTAGCTTAGTTAGCACTTTATAAATCCTATATTATTATGATAATATAATTTAGTTGTATTACAAACCAAGAAACCACCAGCCCAAAATCCAGACACCCAGTCCAAACACCTCTTTAAAGCTGAACAATACTCACCTCAGCTTCAGTGATGCGGTGGCCAGCTCTCAACCTCTTCAGGCAGCTGGCTTCCAGGTGTCGATTTCTGGCCGCTGTCATTGGCCAGGCAGGGGTGACATCACTCCCACGCATGCATGAGAGTTCAGTCTGATTCGCCAATACCAAATTTTTACAGTGAGCGCCACGTGCGTGGATTACTGTACAAGGGCGGACAGGCAGGTAAGTAGTTTTAATGCAGAAGAGACAAAGCATGCCTCTTCTGCATTAACCACTTGCCAACCACACTATAGCCGAATTTCAGCTACTGCGCGGTTGTCCAGTTTTGGGAGGGCGTCATATGACGTCCTCCCAGAACGCACCCTCCTGCGTGCCCCCAGCAGCACGCACCAGCGATCTCTGTGATTGCTGTGTCCTACGGACACAGCTGATAATGTGATGTGGTAAAATGGCCAATCACAGCGGCCTTATACCACGTGATCGGCTGTGTCCAATGACACAACAGATCACTGGGTAAATACAGTTGCCGGTAATCGGCTGCACTTTCCTCGCGCTGTCACGGCGTGAGGAAAGTAGAGCCGATATCCGGCAATTGTCAAAGAACAGATTGGTGATTGATGATCAGTGCCCAGCAGTGCCACCTACCAGTGCCCATCATTGCTGCATATCAGTGCAGCATCATCAGTGCTGGCTATCAGTGAACATCAGTGCTGCCTATCTGTGCCACCTCATCGGTGCTGCCTATCAGTGCAGCCTCCTCAATGCACATCAGTGAAGGAGAAAAATTACCTGTTTGCAAAATTTTATAATAGAAACAAAGAAACTTTTTTTTTTCAAAATTTTTTTTGTATATAGCACAAAAAGTAAAACACCCATTGGTGATTTAAATACTTCCAAAAGAAAACTCTATTTGGGTGAAAAGTGCGACAGCTGCTGAAAGCTAAAAATTGGCCTGGGCAGGAAGGGGGTATAAGTGCCCTGTAGGCAAGTGGGTGAAAAACCCTGCCTGTCTTCCCATTTTTAATTACTCAGCCTAAAGTTCGACTTTAAGCAAAAACACCAGTAAGAATTTTACCTATCTATTCCTCCAAGTCTACAGCGAGGAGTGTGAGCAGTACAGTAGCGACGTCACCAAATCTCACTGGTGAGACTAACAGTCAGAGGCAGCAGTGCCTGAGATGGTCTCACACTGCAGATACACAGTTATAAAGACTCGGGAATGCCTAGGTACAAAAGACAATGGGCACATTTTTAAGGTACTGTTCAGGCTCAATTAACATTCTTAAATGCTCCTTATAACATAGCAGATCTTTTTGAGTCAGGTCCATTTTATATTCAAGTTTGTGATCTTATGTCTCTGTGCTTATGAATTTTGTATTTGTGACATGTTGTGGAAACTCTTATGTATCCTAGAGAAAAAGCCAGTTCTTGATGTACAGACGGCTTTTCATGGACATTGAGCGAGAACAAGTGAAGGAAACGCAAAGACAGAAGGAGCACAACAGGAAAATATCGAAGTAAGGATAATGATACACTATACTGTGCAATGCCTGTAATGTTGTCCCCCTCAATCTCCACTGGTAAAATTCTAAAACTGCCACCATGTGTAAAGTAACAAAGCGGTAGATTTTACTGGAAGATTAACGCTTATAAAGTGCTGATCCTGCACTTTTTGCTGTGCAGAGGTGATGAACTCAATGAGAGGGGGGGGGGGGGGGCAAAAAGCGTGACATAGATAGTTGCTGTCATGGTACAGTGGATTAAGGGAAGTATTCTTGGATGTTATAGCCCCACCCTTAGCATAAGGATGGTAACAGAGGAAATAATAACGCCCCTGACACTGCTCAGAGAACCACCCAATGACGCAGCTACAATCCCAAAGATGCAAGGGGTACTTAGTTCTATGTGGTGCTTGGAGATAAGTTCACAACGATCTGCAGGGACACATAATCCTCACAAACTTTGCCCATACAATGCAAGAGATCAGAGTTTGAGTTATGATGTTGCATGTATTGTAAAAGAAGACCTTTCGCACAGTATAATAACATTTTATACAATAAAAAAGTCATTGTTGAAATGGAGGAAGGAGAATCAGGAGCTTAGTAATAGTCAGCCCCAATTTCAGCTACAATTTTTTTTTCTAACCAGCTACATATTGCTTGGGGGTGGCCATTTTGTATTTTGATGAGGTTGTAGTTTGTTTTTAAAAGTGGAGTTGTGGGAAGGCGTAGTGGGCTGGGAGTCTGAGATTTGCATTAATTGAGTTCCCCACGTTTTGGGGCTGGTGTTGGGGGAGAAAAAAATAATCTTTTCTTATATTTTCTATTTCAGAATGAAAAAAGAGCGAGAGACTGAGCGCCATATAGAGGAGGAGAGGCTTCGCACTACAGCTCAGCCCAGCCTGGAAAATCAAACCTTTCAGGTGGAATTAATGAAGGAGCAAGAGAGGAACTTGGAGCACCGAGAGAGGGCACAGAAAACAAGAGAGTATAACCGGTATATTTCATATCATCACTGAATATCATTGGGGAATAAGTCTGCATTATCCACATAGCCAGTCCCATGGCAGCAAAGGTTTTTATGTCAGAACTCCAGGGTTCTGTGAGGTGTCTACTAATTGCAAAAAGGGAGCTATTTTATTTATTTAAAGAGACCTAATCCAAGTACTGATCAGAATGTTTGTTTTACTTCAGTGTGTTCAAGACAGGTTAAAGAGCAACTCTCATCAAAAATAAAAGTTTACCAGTAAGAGCTGTGAAAATTTGGAAGAGACTCCCTCAAGAGTTGGTTCTGGCCAGCTCAGTGGATTGATTTAAAAAAGGCCTGGATTCTTTCCTAGATACACAGAATATAACTGGATACTAACATTTATAGGTAAAGTTGATCCAGGGAATATCTGATTCCCTCTCGGGGAACAGGAAGGATTTTTTTCCCTTGCAGAAGCAAATTTGATCTTTATAACTTTTTTTTTTTTTTCTTTTTTAATGGTTGAACAAGATTGACTTTTTCCTTTTTTTGCAGCCAGACTATCTATGTAACCTGTTGGTCTAGTGATTCATGTTTAATCCAATATCTGCACTTAGGAAAAACCAAAAAAGGATGAACGATTATGAAGAAAACAACATCTATGGTATTACTGGGTGTCATGCAACCCTAAAGCCTGATTTATGGGAATTCCTATGCTCTAGAAATGCCCGGTCACTACTTCCCCTCTGCTGTCTGGCAAATCACTTATGTCAGCATGCCCAAGAGACACGCTCAGACAGATAGTTCAGAGAAGCCATCCACAGGACACTGCATTTGGATCTTGTGTGTGGGTTGACACACCACTCCCCCTGTAACACCACACTATGAATCTGTATATGTGCTGACCACATCCCCCTCCATCTTGCTGACATGCCTTCTCCCCCTCTGATTGAGTAGGGGTGTTGCTAGTCTCAGACGAGCGCCTGCTGAGGGACACTGGCACTGTCAATCACAATTCTGTAATTGTCTCCTACTGAGCATCGTGGTCGAACAGCATTGGTTGTGCTGTCAATTATGCTAGCTTGGCAGCCACAGTGAAAACCGATGTGTACTGTGTGACTTTTTTTCATTAGCAAAGCAGTACTACTGGAGTGAGCTAACTTGTATTGAGTTGTAATTAAAGCCACATTTATCGGTGTCTAATGATAATTGTTGGTATTGATATTCCAGCTACGTTGAAGCTCTGCGGGCTCAGATGAAGGACAAGATGCTGCTGCATAATGTTGAATTACCACCGTTGTGTTGCTGCGGCTCAGATTTCTGGGACGCTCATCCAGACACATGTGCCAATAACTGCATTTTCTACAAGAATCCTAAAGGTATGGTGCACTGATGCCTTTTAGCAAGCAGTCAGATGCTAGCTTCCATATTATGGTTAGTTCAGGTAGGGAGTATTAAATACCAGATTGATTACTAGGGGCAGGTGCAGGATTTGTATCATAACCCACCATGCAAATCTTTCAGTGACAAATGGCAATACTGTTGTCTTCAGACTGCAGATGTGGGTATAGTTACTGGGGGCCATTGTCGGATCTAATTTTAAGGGAAGCATTTGAGCAATTTCAGTAAAGATATGTTCAGAATTGTAACAATGTACATACATTTTTTTTTTTACATCCGCTTGTTGGGGTAAATTACAGGGTAAGCCACCCAGAGATCTTGTACACACGTTGATTTTGTGCAGCAGAGTGAAAGACTTGCATTAAGGCAAACCTCCAGGCAAACGGCTAAATATACAGATGAAATACATATTGGGGTACTCTTTTACCTGCAAAAGGATATGCATCTGTCCATCCAGTTCTGAAACTTCCACACAACACAGCCAGGGGGATGACACAACTTTTTCTGTTACAGTTATAGAGTGTAGAAGGATCCTAGGGGTGTTCTCTATCCCAAGTCCGCTGTCTTGACAGTGAAAAAGCAGCAGTAGACTGATCAAGGTTATTACTCTGCTCCCTGTGCTCTTTTTTTCTGGTCAGCATGTTTCTGGTCAGCATATTTGATTGTAGCACATGCAATTCGCTCCCAGTCCTGCCCCTCCCTCTGTCAGTCTGAGCTCTGCTATACAGAGACTGTAAGAGGCTGATACCAGGTCAAATTTGGGTAATTGCATCAAATGGACTTAAAAAGAAAATGAATGAGCTGTGTTAATTTGTGTCTGTTATATCTGCCTGTAGTCCAGCTTGAAAGCAAGGAACAGTAGAAATACACACAATATTTAGCTCTAATAAAAGAGAAGTAAAGCTGTGCATGAAATGAACCAATCTGGCTGCCATTATGAACAGAAATTATTCTTATGCAGGATTTATATAGCTGCAAGCGTTTGATTGCTTTGTCCACTCCACATTAGAACCCCCCCCCCCCCCACTGACATATTCCAAAATTTGTCATTGGCTGACATCTTTTTCTTAGTTCTCTATGCCATCCCACTGATGAGGTTCATGCCCGATATGGCATGGTTTGTTAAGGTTTAACCATTTAGCAACATGTGCATCATTACTCAACCAGGCGCTCTTGTTGCTGCAGCCATGGCAATGTATGACTACAAAAACTGTGCTAAGGTGCACAGGCAAAGTCCAGAGTTGCCTCCCTTTAGTTCACATTTTACCATGGGTTCTGGGACTTTTCTGAGATGTTGTGAAATCTTTACACACAATGTCACTGGAAGGCGATGTAGCCTTCCCAGGGGGGCAGAAGGATGTGAGATTACCATTGTCCTAGAAAAGCCAGGAAGTGCACAAAAAAAGTGTAAGTTTTTGTTTAGAAATAACATTAAAGGGGAGCTATACTCCCTTTCTCTCCAGTGCTGCAATGTCTCAGAGCTCCCCTCTAGCCGCTGACATCTTCAGCTTGGTGGCTTCTAAATATCGGTCCACAGTTGGTTTAATTGGCCTGGGCTAAGATGACGTTACTCCCATGCATGCGTGTACACAGTGCTGTGTACAGTGCAGATAGACAAGTAATCGCCTTTATGCAGAAGAATCAATCCTCTTCTGCATTAAAATTATTGTCTGTAGTTTTTGTTTTTTTTTTTCATTAAAGTTCCACATATGGCCATTAAGCAATTATTGTTCAGCATGCAGAACTGCACTGAAAAGAAGGCACAGTGAGCGCTTGGGTTCAAAAGCAGCTAGCACTTAAAGGTGAACCAACCTGATAAATATGTGTAAACTAATAGTGCAGCGCTTACAATAATACCACATAAAACATTCAAATCAATCAAAATAGATAAATGTCTGATTATGCAGTAAGTTATATTAGAAAGTGAACAAGTGCATATAATTATATATAACCATTCAAATATTGCACCCTAAGAGTGAAAAAAGTGCATCAAAATGAAACTGTTCATGAATCCTATATAGCCATTAAACTGAAACAATAAAGTGAAAATAGTGCTAGTGCAACAATATCAGTTCAGTGATCAGCAATCTCCACTGCAGGTGAAATGCAGCAACATGACTCCAAATGGGTGAAACAATCTTTAGTATGATTCCTCCACCATTATGCACTCACTAGAAAAACAAAACGTGTAGAGCCTAATAGACATTCCAGTTAGCCAGGGTATCCCTCGGTTGCTCCTCAGCCTGGACAAAATCGCTGGCCAAACATCCCTAATTGAAAAATGCTCAAGACGGTCGCTGATCCGAACAGCGGAGTCGGCAGCGTGACATCAGCACATAGATTCCTACCTGACGCGTTTCGTGCACACACATCTTCAAAGGGAATCACTTCCTGAACCAGCCATCTGCTGTTCTGATCGGCGACCATCTTTTGAGCATTTTCCAATTAGGGACGTTTGGCTAGCAATTTTTCCAAAGTCCATGCCGTCGCTGCTGGCTCCTCCCCCTCGAGCAGTGCCTCCAGTGAAAGCTGTTGCCCTGTGGGTACCGCTGCGTGGCTCAGCCAATGAGGAGGAAGAGTCCCCAAACAGCAGAGGCTATCGAGAACGTCGCTGGATCAGAGGAGGCTCAGGTAAGGATTGGGGGCGCTGCTGCACACAGGAGGTTTTTTTTTACCTTCATGCATAGAATTCAGCCTTTACAACCACTTTAAATGCACAACATAAATCCTGTATAATAATAATAATAATGCTAACATTTTTCACAGATCTTTACAAAATGGAGATATTACAATTCAATACCAGAGAAATCAGAGGGCCCTGCTTGTTAAAGTTTACAATCTATAAGGGAGATTATTATTGATTACCTTTTAAAGCGGCTCCAGTAATAATAATAACAATGTCTATTTTTGCAGCGTACACCCGAGCTTTACAGTCAGTGCTGTTGTCACGTGACACGTGGGAAGGGGGCTCGAGCTCCAGATTCGGATTTGGTCGGCCTTGATCCTGTGAGCAATGGGGAATTCCCCCAGACTGACTGAACTACGAATGTCTGTGTGCAATTATTTATTTTTGGGGTGATTTGACATGTTGACTAAGCACAAGTAATCTGAACACCTCCAGTTCTGGGATCGCATACCCAAGAAGAGCCCTGTAAACCAGACCATTTGTAGTGTGGTCAAGGATGGACAGATCCCTCTCCCAGCTCTGGATGTGGAAGTGTCTCAGCAAAGATGAAGCTCTCATTGCAGTAAAGATTGGGGCATTTGCAGTGTCATTCTAGTCATCCCAGCATATTAACTCTTAGGCCCCATTCACACTATTGTGTCTGGGATTTCAAAACGCTCTGCTAAAATGACAAATCACAGAACCACATGTTCAGATGACATTCGTTTTAATGGCACCTGAAAACAGGGTGTAGTTCTGCCGTGATTGTAATAAATTGCAGCAAACCACATCCCATGACACGTTCAGGAACTTTGAAATTTTATCAGAGTGCTTTGAAATCGCAGGAAACATCGCAGCAATTCTGCTCACAATTCAAAGTGCCCTAGTGTGAATGGGGACCTTAAGTTTGACTCAAACTCTATCCTGGAAAAGCCTGCCTACAGACTGAAGATTGATGCCTGGTCACACTAAAGAGAAATCTAAATCTTTTGGACAATTGTAGGAATACCAGCTGGGTACAATGGAAAGGGAAAAAAATCAAATTTTATGAGGATCTTGCCACCTGCTATTTTGAGAATTAAAGGCAAGCAGATATTCAACATTACGAATAGCTAAGAAGCTCTGCTTGCTGCAGCAATGAGACCGTTCTACAGATATCTTTGCGGCAATCCTACAGAAAAATTGTTATCACAAAGGGTTTCTGGAGTAATCTGTAGAGAAATAAAAGAATGAGTGCAACACAGTGCATTATTCATTCCAGGTAGAATTTTTTATTTTTCACAATGCATAATCAAAAATACATGACCTTTTGGGGCTCAAAACTCCCCCTTCAGCAGGGCTTGTGTTCTGGCAGTAAAAGTAGCTTTGTATTAAACAATTGCTTTGTATTGGACAACAATTGTAAAACGATCATATAGCATGAGATTTAGGTCAGTTTGGTGACCTGGATCTCATGCTATTTGTATTGATTTTATCCTTTTAATGCTCTTCCTAAAACAGGAGGTTTTTGCAGATTTTACTTGCATCACAGATCCAAAAAATAGGGGATTGACTCCTCATTTTTAATAGTTGGAGCCATGCAGATCATTTCTTTATGCCGTTATGTGGCTAATCCACGTTGAAAGGCTTATTGTGCAGGTACCGCTTAACTGCTTCAATACCGGGCACTTTCACTCCCTTCCTGCCTAGGCCAATTTTCAGCTTTCAGCGCTGTCACACTTTGACAGTTGCGCGGTCATGCAACACTGTACTCAAACTACATTTTTATCATTTTGTTCATACAAACAGTATGATGGTGGTATTTAATCACCGCTGTTTTTTTTTTCTAAATAAACAAAAAAAGACTGAATATGAAAAAAGAAATATCATACAATGAACCGTTATCTCACGAGCAAATGCGTAATGTGACAATAAAGTAAAAATATATTGAAAGCAGCTCACACTAGCCACATACTCATAACATGTGCATAACTTCAAAAATATATACAGTTGTGTTCAAAATAATAGCAGTCAGACATCACTAACCTGATCAATCACTGTTTTGGGTAGAAATGATATTTCTACATGGTAAATAACTTACTAGCAGGTGTAGTAGAGTAATAGAAATCCAACAGACCCAACAGTCATGACATGCATGCTGCTGATTCTGTGTAATTGAATCACTAATTGAAAGGGGCATGTTCAATATAATAGCAGTGTGGAGTTCTATTAGTGAGGTCATTCATTCTTTGAAAAACAGGTGGCAATTATTGCCCTTATTTAAGGAAGGAAGGCAGCAAATGTTGTACATGCTGGTTACAGTGCATTTCTCTCTGTAATTCTGAGGAAAATGGGTAGTTCCAGACATTGTTCAGAAGAACAGCGTACCTTGATTAAAAAGTTGATTGGAGAGGGGAAAACATACAAAGTCCCAATGTTGAAAAAAAGACATGTGCTGAAGAGGTTACAATTTGCCAAAGAGCACATTGACTGGCCTAAAGAGAAATGGCGCAACATTTTGTGGACTGATGAAAGTAAGATTGTTCTTTTTGGGTCTAGTGGCCGGAGACAGTTTGTCAGACGACCCCCAAACACTGAATTCAAGCCACAGTACATTGTGAAGACAGTGAAGCATGGTGGTGCAAGCATCATGATATGGGGATGTTTCTCATACTAAGGTGTTGGGCCTATTTATCGCATACCAGGATCATGGATCAGTTTGAATACATCAGAATACTTGAAGAGGTCATGCTGCCTTATGCTGAGGAGGAAATGCCCTTGAAATGGGTGTTCCAACAAGACAACGACCCCAAACACACCAGTAAACGTGCAACATCTTGGTTCCAGACCAACAAGATTGACGTTATGGAGTGGCCAGCCCAATCCCCTGGATCTTAATCCAATAGAAAACTTGTGGGGTGACATCAAAAATGCAGTTTCTGAGGCAAAACCAAGAAATAGAGAAGAACTGTGGAATGTAGTCCAATCATCCTGGGCTGGAATACCTGATCACAGGTGCCAGAAGTTGGGTGCCTCCATGCAACACAGATGTACAGCAGTTCTCAGAAACAGTGCGACTACAACCAAATATTCATTAAGTGATTCAAAGGAAAGCAAAATCTTCAAACATTTTTCAGTTTATATAGTGAATGTTTGAGTTTGTAAAGAAGAATACAAACACTGCTATTTTTTTGAACCGTCTAATATTCACTTTTTTCAATTTTTTTTAGAGGAACAACACAAAATTTGATATATTTTTCTTCATGTTTTGATTTGGAATAGAATGTGTCGTGTTCCCAATGCATTTGTGTGTATGGAAATAAAAGCTATTAGAAGGATTTCGAGCTTTATTCACTTTTTTCAACACACTGCTATTATTTTGAACACAACTGTACATATAGTACAGCGCTTCCCTCAAAAATTAATCTAACCCCAAAATAAATACACAATCAATTGTGAACATAAATTAGTACAACATGCATAAATGAAAAAAGTCTCTCAATAGTGATATCTTCAAAACAGATGGATTTCAAAATTATATATCTTCATGCAAAAGTTATCCTCCACCAAAAACAGTCACCAGATGTGCCTTCACCTGAAGTTTTTGACCTCACATCATGTTAGGTCAAAAAATGCATGTGTCCCAAGAGATGGACATGAACGGGTTAATATATCCTGGCAGTGGATTCTTCCTCCAGTGATCACCACTCTCTTAATCTCTCCTCCTCCACTCCACATATGGTAGAGAAGATAGGAAACACAATAGAGCTTTATCCTTAAAAAAACTACATTTTATTAAAAATGTAGAAAGTGGCCACTCACATTACAAAGGTGCTACATCGCACCAGATATTTAGCGCATATAAAACAGTAATATTCAAATATGCAGGATGATCTTCCAATTATCTAATGTGACAGTATATCAGTGTGTTACCGGTGTCGTGACGTCATCACGTCCCCTGGGGTGGGGCTTGATGACGTCACGCCACTGCAATGTGCACGAGAGCCTCAGCCCTCTTCATTGGCTGAGACAGCAGCGGGAGCTATTGGCTCCCACTGCTATCAACTACAGTCAGCAAGCCAATGAGGGGAGAGAGGGAGCGGGTTCGAGCAACGGCTTTGTATGTGAATGGACACACAGAGCAGCGGCTCAGGAGTGAGCCTGCTTGGGTGCCCCTATAGCAAGCTGCTTGATTTGGAGGCAGGAGGAAGGGGCCAGGAGGGGACAATTTTTAAATTGCCTTTATCAGTTTACACTAGGCCCCATAGCAATAATATGGTGTCTAATATGGGTGAACCTGTCACAGGTCTAACATTGAAAGGTGAAAACCCCATTATTTTATCTCATCACTGCCAGAAAGAAGAGGAAAGACATTTTCCAGAAGGTCGGCTTTCAAACAAAAGTCACATATATACTTTTCTAGAAAAAGATTTCTTCTCTTACTGGATGGATAAAATTTTATATTTAAAGTGGGTCTCTCAGTAACTTCACAAGTCTGCATGAATAAATTCCCAACATGTCAAAGTGTATAGTAATTTCTCTTGTAGTTGTAATTTTTTTTTTTTTAAAAGCCACCCTTGATCTCCAGTCCAGTGACTTTACCTAGGCTCAGATAAAATCCTCAGCCTGCTGCAGGTGAGAGGAAGCATTTCTTCGGTTTCCTCTGTCCCCCATTGATCAGACTACAACACTGTAACAAGTCACAGGGTAAGAGTCTGCAGCAGGGGCTGACGTGTGTCGAAGGGTGGAATAGGGAGAGTTCAGAAGGGCTGGGAATGAGCATATAATAAGATGTTATGAATACACTGTGTTTGAGGCAGATTACATTTTTTTCTGTACTTGCACAATTTTTTAAAGGGATAAGACATGGGGAAATGTGCATGTTTTGCATCCATTTTCTTTTTGTGTATATACACACACTGTATAGCTCTTAAAGCAGTGGGGTCCATGGTATAGGGTGAGGAGATACCCATGAGGTGTGGTGAAGGGCACGGTAGTGTTTGTTCATGCTGAAGAAAGTCATATTGTTGTTCTGACAAGAAATTAATATGTCGATTTGGAGATTGCACGAAGATTGGTTGGTGTATCTCACATTGGACTATATTATTATTATAATACAGGATTTATATAGCGCCAACAGCTTGCGCAGTGCCTTACAAAATGAAGGTAGACATTACAGTTACAATGCAATTTGGAAACAGAGGGCCCTGCTCGTTAGAGCTATATGTTTTGGAGTTTTCTTTTTTGCTTTAAGAGCTATAGTGTGTGTGTACACCTTTTAATCAGAGTATAGCATCAAGTCAATGAAACTCCTGGGATATTGATCTGGTCAGGTAAGTAGCAGAGGGGCTTGATAAT